TAGATTTTGCAAGTGAGGTTGGTTCACCTTTTGTTGTTTCAAATAATTTTTTGGCTTCTTTACGTTCCTATAACAATAATAATAATAACAAAATAATCACAAAATTATTATCTTTTAAAAAAATCAAAGAAAAGGTTTCATACCATATCACGAACTCTTTTGAAATCTATAACTCTAATACTAGGGATCTTCCGAATCACCCAACTTCGATACCATTGTTTCCTGGTTACTGGGTTATCCAGTAAACTTATATATTGTAATCTTTTAATTCCATTTAATGGTTGCAAATCAGGTAATTCCATTATATTGTTGTTTGTTAAAACTAAAGTAGTAAGGTTGGGTAGAAATTCAAATAGTTGTGGATCTAGTCGATTAATTCGATTATTGGCTAATAATAGTGTACAAACACGACATAATAATGGGAAATTACCCAATATGCGAATGTCATTGTCTATTAGATCAATTGCGTCATTTAAGTCCTTTGTTTCAAGAAAATTTATCATAATTAATGTTATAAACAATGTATGATTTAGCTCATTTGGAATTTCTAAATATAATAATAGTAATGGTGATCTGCGTCATGGGAAATTTTAGGAAATTTATGATTGGCTTGCGAGAGCTTCCAAAATCATTTCAAATTGTTCTACGAGCCTACCTGGGATTAGCACGGTGGGCATTCCTTTTATATGTTGATCATCTTTCAGAATAAACGCTTATGAGGTGGGCGCAAGTACAACTAAATAACAACCTTTCAATTTTACAAGTATACTCTTTTCACTTCAACATTCCCTGACCCACCCTGATCTATTCGAAGTAATAAATTTTTATTCCTTGATTACAAATCATTACTAAAATGCCTGTTGGTTTTGTTCTGTTTGCAAAGTTGAAAAGATGACTAAACGATGAAATACTTCATAACAAGGAAAAGAAAAGGATGCTTTTTTGTGTAACATTTTGTGATTTCGTGCAACAAATGAATCCGTTAATTCCCATATAAGGTCGTAACAGTAACACTAAATTGATACCTATTTGATTTTTTTGGCTCTAACAAGAATTTTACATAATAATAATATTAAAGAATTTTTTTTTTAAATAATAATTCTATTGTTTTGACTTTGATGCACTTATTAATAATAAGAAATAAAGAATATTATACATTGATTGATTATTTTATATAGGGAAACAGGCAACTTATCTCTGCGAAACACGAATTTATTAATACAAATCCCAACGATGTCAAAAAGTCAAAATCACGACTCACCATTAAATATACGTGTAACATTGAATTAGGTTGTAATATTCAACCCTAGAATTTTCAACCAAAAAAAAAACTTACATCTATAATTCTTTATTGTAAATATATTCTTTTAAAGTTTATTTATATATCATATATATATCATATATCCGTTATTTACATATCATACATATATCCTTCATTAATATGTAATAAAAAATGGAAGAAAAAACTTGAATGCATTGGCAGGAAAATTTTATTTATAAGGTATTTTATTTACATTATGGTTGTTCGGATTATATTTTAGAAAAATCATATCCGGGCCATTTGGCTTAGGAAAAATTGCCGTTGACAGACAGTAGTAACTTATATTTAATATTAATATGGGACTTAAATTCTCAACCCGCTATATATATATATGAAAGATCTGTGTCAAATGAGTGTATTGAATTTATACCGTATTTAATTGAAAATGGCCTCCTTAATCCCAAATATTAACATTATTATTTTTTTTTTTGACCACGTTTATTTATAAAATAAAATTAATATCTTTTATTTATTATAAAATATAAATAAAAGCGTAATTGGATGTGGACTTATTTCACGTGGTGAAAACGACCAAAGAAGAACTAGTAAAAATTTGTTCGGTCTTAAATGATGTATTTGCTATTTTAACGGATTAACCCAT